TTCTTTTTTTGTAGGTGAGCTAGTACTTAAAATTAATGTCAAACCTGGCGATTTGGATTGGAGATCACCAATCTAAACAAGGAATTTGTTTGCATCAAAACAATTTCAAGAAAGTATCGGTACTAGTTCAGTCACCCTAACCTTTTAATATTTTTTGTTTTTAAAATTTATTTAATATTTTTTTAGATACTACTAAATCCCCTCACCACATAAATCTTTATTTTAAAATGTTTTTTATCTTTGTTTTTAATATTTTTTGAGTCACCAATTCAAACCTATTCAGGACCAGTGATTGGACGATCTAACGTGAATATGTGGTGTAGACGATCTACCGCATTTGGTTTTAAAACATTGCTCAAAACCCATTAAATAATTTATGTAAATTAGGCTGTATAAAAACCCATTAAATAATTTATATAACTTGGCTGCATGGGTTATTATGCAATAAATCCACGATCTACGTGTTTTAATGGATGCAAGTTGGCAGGGAGCTCAGCGTGTTTTTGTCGTACGTTATATAGTGTCGTTAGAACTAGACCGCTTAATAGGTCGAGGATGATCATTGGTCGAACCAGTTGAATATAGTTTTATTAGAACTAGATCACTACTATACAGTTCAAGAATACGGTCCAATCAAAACTTGTGTATAAACTGAATTATAAAAAAAATAAAAAATAAATAAAAAAAGTTGTTAAAAAAATATATATATTGTAAAAAAAAAATTATGAAAAATTGTTCTATACGTTGGGGGGTGCATTTCTACACTTACGTCTCCGAGGTATAAGGCATCCATTTTAAAGATGGATAGATGGATGCAAATGGATGGTCCTTCTAAAAACAGTAACAGTCCACATGTTTATTCATAAAACTAATTTTTTTAGTTTTTGAAAATTTTAAAATTATTTTATTATGTTTATATTCATGATCTCCATGTTAGTATATGTCCTTAAAAATTGGGTTAAAAAATCCATCTCAAATATAGATATTTAAAAAGGAACTCATTTCTACATGGACTCGTAGAAACCGTGTCCAAAGTTTATATAAGGTTATACTTTTGAAATAAGGTGCACCTCAAAAATCTAGTAGAAAAAATGCGAAGTTGGAAAACTTTCATAATGATTCCCTCGACATTGAGATGTATGGTATAATAAATAAAATAAAAAAATAGTTCAAAAATCAAAAATCAAGTAATAGTTCATCTTGTAACATATTATCTCAACCATTATTTTCAATATTTTAAAGTGTTTTATATAACTACTCAATCTGCACAATTTTTGAAATGTTCAATTTCATAAATAAAGTTGAATATGGATTTTCAAGCCACCATAAGATTTCCGAAATCTGAACTACATCTTATGGCAAAATTTAGAAGGTACCTTACTTGTACGAGATAAGGTGTGGTAACTTGTAAAAACTCACCCTTATAAAAATGGTTGCCTAACATTGTTTTATTTGTCTAATCAGTGAAAATCAGTCAAATATTTATTTGAAAATTTTCAACTAAACTCAAATTTTTGCTTGAGATGAAACCAATTAAAGAACCAAACTACAGTCCAACCAACCTGGCATGACCAGTCAATAAGACCTAATTTGCATGCCTTTATGTTGCCATAAAAATGAGAAAAGTGGCCCCTTTGTAATAGTCAGAAAGAAAACAATCCCAACCTTCTTTACATATAAATTTTGCGAACTCAAAATAAGTCCTATAGTGTCATATATCATCTGATAAGTCCCCATTTTGATGTTCATATCACAGCCTTATTTTTAACCTGCCTTTATGGGCAGTTATGAAGATAAGAGCTCTCAACAGGTAATAGTTATATATAACAATACTGAAGTTTATTTTTTCATTTTATTTTTTATTTTTTTTGTACTTTAACAAGGAAGGCATCTTAATACGTCACATTGTGGCAGCCCACCACCTTGACCACTTAACCTTGAGCCCATTTATAAGTTTATGCTATTTTGACAATAACAATAATAATAAGACCAAAGAAAATTGTATAAATCGGTAAGAGGTAGGTGTGTGATGATTTTCAGTTTAAATTGTAAAAATAAATAAATAAATAAATAAATAAATATATATATATATATATATATATAAAGTAAGGTACATATGAGAGATTAGGGTTGATCACCTAATCTCGAAGGGAATCGACCCAGCAACAGACCAATGCCAATTCAGGTAAACGACTCCTGATCCAAATTGGCAATTTTTAAAACCCTGATTTGTGCCTACCACATGATTATCTAAGACTCAATATAAATCATGCAGGATTCTCATGCTAAGCTTGATAAATACTGGCGCACCTTAATTTGGGAGCTCAATAAGAGCGGCTTTGGAAATGAACGGCTCACACTTACCAACAATTTTAGCCAGATTCATTTTCTAATCTAACTGAAATACAATGTTCATATTGACTTCTTCACTTTCTGTTCATTGAACAAGCAAGTCGTTTCAGTCCCTTAAGAATTGTGAAGATTCATTTATTTGATACTATTTTTATCTTTAGATATTTTAGAGAAAATAATGGTTGGTCTAGGAAGGGTGAGAACTTCAAACTTTTCCCCTAGCCTGGTTAAAGGAGGTAGATTGTGTTTGATAACCAGCCGATATAAAACTTTACCAAAACTTTACCCTACCCCAAATAGTTAGGAAAAGGCTTTGGTGATGATGATTATGATGATGAGGGATAAAAAAAAAAAGAAAAGGGATTTCCGACATCCGAAGTAGTTGATGTAAAATCAAGTGGTCTGCGGTGTGTAATTTCTCTTCCAAAAGTTTGAAGAAAATTATTCTGGACTTTGAGTATGATCAATGCTATACTCTCAGCAACCTGATTGAACATCTAATGACTAGTATTATTTGTCGCATTTTTGTATGAAAGGTAAACAATATTGTTGTAAATTTTCCAGGTAATTTATATGTATAAGGAAAATTGTTTCATGCGGGCTGGACTACATTTCTACATATGCGGTCCACAAAGTGTAAAGCATCCATCTTAAAGATGGATGCAAGTAGGTGTTCTACCTAAAAACAATAGAAACTAACTGTCCCAATGTTTTCTTACTAGAATTATTTTTTTAGGTTTTAAAATTTATTTATTTATTCGTATTCATGATCTCAGAGAATACATATCTTTAAAAATTAAATCTTAAAATCCATCTCAAAAATAGATTTATAAAAGGGCCTGCATTTCTACATATGCGGGCTTGGCCGCATAGAAACCGGGTCCTATGTTTAATCATACTTGAGATTAGGATATGGAATAACTTGTTTAAAAAAATTCAACATAAATTACATGTTTATTTTTTTGTTTTATAGAATACCTTGTTGACTGGGCTTTCAGATGAAATATAACAAAATAAATTGTTAGGTGAATGAGATGGAGAATTTCACCCATAAGTTCATAACAACGGCACATTTTCGAGTGTTGTTACCAGTGATTCGAAAATTGCTCTCTGACTCGAAATTGGCCAAGTTGAATCGGAACATGGAGGTAAAGGATCATCGATGGAAATTCTCCATATGAAGAGAAGTATGTTTTTCTATTAAAAAAATAAAATAAATAAGTATGTGACAGGGCAATACAATGTGATGTCTTAAGATCTATTTCTATTATGGATAGAAGATTTCTTCCATACTAAACTACCCCAAAGAATTAGGATTTATAAAATGTTTTATATCAAACTTAGCATTGGATGAATGTGCAATGGAGCATGTAATTGGTTAGAGGGCAAGTCAAATTGGACCAACCATCAATGCAATTTCCTCTTCTAGTGGATTTCGCTCCATCGATTATTAAAATGGACGGTTGTGATCTCAATGGACTACTGTTTTCTCCATAGTCCACTAAATTATAGTATACTTCTCTTACTTTTGAAAACTTGAAAACTGCCTTTTACACACCTTTCTTGCAATGGCAAGATGGCCTACTATCATACGATCAACGGCCAGTGTGCAATGTTACTTTGGCCTAGTTAAAATGGAGTGACGCCCCACCATTCAAGTGATCCATATGATCATACAAACAAACTACTCATATCAAGCATCACCAACCAACCAAAAGGGTCGACGGTGATAGATTCTTTGCATATAACATTGGAGTGAAACCCCACTCGGCTCTTTATTAGGGCATGTTAGGAGTGTAGTAAATCTTTTTTATTTCGTACGCGTGAAAATATTTTCATGAAAGTATTTTACATGAAAAACTCTCAATGTGATTAGGAGTAAGAGCTTTTTACACAAATGGGTCCCACTGTATTTTTATACACTAATTGAGAGCTAATTAGTGTGAAAAAACTTCCACATCTAATCACATGAAAGAGTTATTTCATATGAAAATATTTTCACAAAAGTATTTTTACGTGTGCCAAATGTGTCCTTCGGGAAATATATTTCTCACTAGACCACTCATTTTTCATGTTTGTTTCACGAGAAATCAGAAGCGTTTTATGGGAAAGCATGTTAGTGAATTAGAAATATATTTATATCTTAGATCCATGTATTTGTAGCTCCAAAAATAGTAAAAAGCTCATATTTGTGAAGAAGTAAACGAATGAGGCAATAAAATTTCAAAATTCATCTACTTTTCCATATTGATGATCATAGTGGTTGAGATTATTGACCTATGAAATCTTAGGATCCAAAACCAAGGATGGATTTCGGAAGCGGGAGCCACGAAAATCTCATCCTTCAAGGCAACAATGATCTTGATCCATCGTATCATGGAAAACCTACAGTCATGAGTCTCATCACCATCCAGTTAATGGATGAAGAATGATGGAGAGAGAGTGACTCACCAAAATAAACCACTAGTACATCGACTTTCTCCATCTCATCGTCCATCCCTTGATTAGACGGTCATAACACTCATGATCACAAACATTTCTTCTGTCACAAGACATCATAGTATAATTCCCTCATCTCATCGTCCATCCCTTGATTAGACGGTCATAACACTCACGATCACAAGACATCATAGTATAATTCCCCTCCCTTTAATATCTCCAAAACCTGCACGTTTCCTCTGATTTTAATGGCGACCCTCAGGTTCCCGCCAAATTATTTCAACCCCACTCTACCCATGTACCGTATCAGGCCCCATTTCACCAAATTAACCCATTTTTCCTCCTCTAAATTTAGACCTATTTCTGGCTTTTCCAAATCTTGTTCTACTATTGCTCCTTTCTCTGAATTAACCCATTTTTCCTCCTCGAAATTCAAAAGCATCTGTGGGTTCAGCAAATTTTGTTACATCACTCCCTCATCTTTTGCAATTGCACACGTTTCCTCCTCCAAATTAAGAGGCTTTTGTGGGTTCGCGAAATCAGGAGCGGAAGCGCCGGTTCAAGAGTTGGGCGAGGCCGATAGTTGCAGAGCTCGAAGGACAGTGAAAAAAACTAGGGTTTCTGAGGCTGAGCTCAGAGAGAATTGGCTTTCTTCTCTTACATGTCCATTGGAACCAGTATCTGAGATACCAGATGATGGGTATGAATGGGTTATGGGCATTGATCCCGATTTATCGGGGGCCATTGCGTTACTCAAAACTGATGGTTCAGGATGCTCTGCTCAGGTATGTATGTATTGTTCAAAAAAATGTATGTATTTATGTACTTATGTAATTTCCAGTATTATCCATGTGCATTTATGCTTTGATGTTTGCATGCCCATGATATGCACATTTTAGTTTATGTAAATGTAGACAATTTTTTTGTGATATTGATATGTCAATAGAGGAGTGGTTAGTAGGCAATATATGTGTGTCTGTTAGTATTGATATCATGGTCATTGCCCTGCTCTGTAATTTACTAAGTTAAATTTGATGTGAGGTTTTGTTTTGGGCCCAGAAGTTCTGATTTTGGTCTCATCAAAATTCATGTCATTATTATGGTTGTGCTCATCAATCTCACAAAGAATAGCCTTACCAGCTAAGATTTCAAGCTTGTTGATCCAGCAATTTGATGTAATTTTTTTAAAAAAAAACTCTCAGAAGCATATTCGTCCATTGTTCTCGCATTCAGTCCTCGTGAAATGCTAGGAATTGTTGGAGCTTTTCTCCAAGTTCTCCCACAGGACCCCTTGCCATGGGGAATAGTGATATGTTATTGACACAAATTTAAGATTTGGAGGTTTAGAAGCTATTTTCGAAAGTGTGTGGCATATATATGTCTCAAATTAAATAATCAAAGTGAGACACACCTAATTGTTGTTTCTTTTCTTATGAGAGATGGCATTAATCGTTAAATGTACTGAACTTATTCTTAGTGTTTAATGGCTTCTCATTTTTGGTTATAGATGTTTGATTCTTTCATATGTCCTATTGGTCATTGTTGAAATTTTCTTATCTTTACCATGAAGTTTTGGCTGTTACATATTTAGTCTCTCTTTCACTGTTTTGTAGGTATTTGATACTCCTTATTTGGAAGTTTTAGTTGGCAAAGGGGCACGAAAGCGCCTAGATGTAAGGTCCACTATCCTGTTGCTTCGCAGTTTTGGGGCACCACTCGGTATGATTCATGTTAAGCCCTCGAACAATTTCCCTGTACATTTGCTCTTAGTTAAGAACTGCATAATTTCTTTTTTTATATCAATTAAAATATTAGCTTGCATGGTTAAAATATATTAACTGTGGTTTTTCTTTCCCTGATTTTTGTGGAAGTTTTCTAGCTTATGTTTACAATCCACCAATATGAGTTGCGGTTCTATGCATTCCTACATAGAAATTAGAACACCAAGCTTTATAACTCACTTCAACTAACTGACCATCAACGTGATTAACGGCAGCCTTCATCAAAAAAATGTGATTAATGGCAGTGTATTTCATATGGTATAACTGATCATTTGCTGAATCCAAATTTAAATTTGTAAAATTTCTGCAAACAGATCACTTTTCCTGCATCATTTAATAATAATTCCTCTTCAGATTCATATAGAAAAAAAAAATCCTGTTCAGATTCCTGAAAACATTCTTAAGTATTATCTTTGCCCGTATAAATCAAACCACAACTTGGTTCTTATTGGGCCTGGAAAGGCTCCATATAATGCACATTTTAGAGTTGTCCATGTATTCACATACAAAAGTGCCTTTATCACTGTTTCTTGTGTGTATGTGCTGGGTGCATGCATTCATATATTTACACATACACATACATAATGTACATTTGCATGCACATCTGAATACATGCACACACATTTATGTGCTTTCTTTTGTGTTAATCTTTGTTTGATAAAATGGTGAAACATCTTATGCAACAAGCCTTCTTTTTGTCTGTGCATGCATATTATTGTTGTTTCTTCTGAGACAACACTGATTTGCTGTCAGCCAATAGTATCCTGTTCTATGCTCTATTTATTTGTTTTGATCTTTAATCTTTTGTCTTTGGATAACTTATGTTCTCAAAACTATGGTTTTCATAATTGATGGTGCATTTTAGGCACCGGGCCCTTTGTTTGCATGTTCGTGTCTTCTGGTCACGTGCCCTTTCTCAACTAGGCCAACATTGATGGTCACTGTTAGCCGCATCAGTAGCTGATACTTTGATGCTATACCATGCACACATTTTATTGTTGAAATAATCAGCACTCATAGCAAAGATTGGTCATGAGGATATGACCATCTGACCCAGGCATATGATGCTATAAGACATGGATTCGATTCTTTTTATTTTTCAGTCATTATGATTCTGAAATTTTAGATATACTATTGTATTAATGGCTTAATAGTAAATCATTGAATAAAACTGCCTTGATTTTATGACCAAATAAAGTTCATTTCAGGAACTACTGCATATGTTGAACAATCAATACCTTTTCCAAAAGATGGAAAACAGGTTAGTCATGATGGTGTTATAAGTGTTCTGTTTTAGGGATTAAAATTGCTTAGTATTTTAACTTCATTATGCTTCCGTTAATTGAAAATCTGTCATTCTTTTGTTATACAAAACTTTTCTTTTGGTAGGCTTTTCTTTTGTCTTTCTATAGGCAAGATGCATATCTGTAAATTCCAAGTTCTGAGATTGTTGAAATTGTGTGTGTTTATGCATCTGTAATATTACTATTAAGTTCTACCATTCCAAATACACTTAATATATTTCATTACTGTACACAAATCTCGTCTTTCTTGTTTTTTTTTAAACTGCTAACTTGTATCGAGTATGGGAAAAAATTCTCATCTTTCTTTGTTCACACCATGAGGTTTAATACCTTTTTTGTATTTCTATTGCTCTTTTTCCCTGAAAATCACAAAGAGTTACTCAAAGGGACAAAAACCAGCATGGATGAGAAAACTATTTATTCTCCTCCCGCGTTCTTGTTTGAAAAATGTGATGACCGTTATAAACACCTGAAAGCCAACTAAGGGCCATTAATGATCATGCCAGAGCACAATTGAGGCAGTTGTCAATGTTTTTATTTAGCAATCACTGCTTCACCTACTTATAATACGTGCTCATATGAATTAATAATTGGCCAAGATGATGACCTCTTGACAGTATTCATCATGATCCACATGTATCATATTGCCATGTTATGATTTTGACAAATTGATTGCTTGGAAGCAGTTTATTAAAGAGAGACGAACAATATTAAATTCTGATCGCCATACTTGTCACAGTCATTAAGTTAAAAACTATGTTCATCTGTTTTTGTTAAATTGATTTTCTTTTTGACATTTGTTTAAGAAAGTCTACCATAAACAGGTGGGGCATCCACTATCTATTCTAAAGATAGACGGTGGAGATGAACTGTGCTTCCAGGTCGATACTATCATCAGAACTGCTATTCATCTCCACCATCTGCCACTGATGACACCCACCACCTCAACCATCCCCTCCGTCCCCGTGTAGGATATACCGCATAGATGTGTGTGATATACATTCCCATATAGTTTGTTGGGATTTCTATTGTAGGATGGGAGGCTAATAAAGTGGCGGTTAATCTAGTGGATCTGGTTAAGTTTGGAGGATGGTTGGTTGTTGAGAATTTGTGCCATTTGAGAGAATTGCCACCGAATACTTCACCTCTTTCCATTTCTCAGTACTTTTTTCTGTAATTTGCATGACTTCTTCTGTTAACATTTACTCAAAAAAAAAAACTTCCAATGAGCTTTTATTGATTTAAAAAAAAGAAAAAGGTTAACAGTTAATCCAGTTTGAATTGCTCACTATGCTTAACTTGCAAATGGTACTTAATTGATTCATTAACTTGTAATGATGTGATTTGGAGCTCTTTATCATAATAAGCCATTTCCAAAAAATAGAAGACAAAATAAATAAATCAAGTACCGATTGTATTGTGAGCCTTTTTATAATTTGTGTATCAATCCTTGTAACATGGGTCCATTGGATGTTCATTATTTTTCCTCTTAAACATTTTAAATGTACCTGTTGTTAATGTAAATTTTTTGTATTTAAACTGAAAGGGCAGAGTTCATGTTAGAAATGGTGTTTTCTTGATTGCAACGCAGGGTTGGTGGAGTGGAGGGTTTGGTTACGGATTATGGATTGGTATTTTAGTTACCTCTGGATTTTCTGTTGTCCCAATTCCTTCCCTTCTTTGGAAGAATCACTTCGAACTCACTGGAGGCACCTCAACAAAGGTAACTCTGCATGGTCAGAATACCTATGGAATCATTTGGGATTATTATTATTTATTATTATTTTTGGTGCAAGGCTTTGAACAAATAATGGCATTTTCCACTTACCTAGTTTCCAAATAAATATAAGACAAGGCTAAAAACTTAGTGGATAACATTCAGTAAGTTTTTTTTATTTTCATAAGGTGTTTGTATGTTTTAGAAACTTTTTAGTAATATTGGTTTTACTTGAGATCAGTATGTTCAAGAAGCATTTTTCTTCAAGGAGATGGTAGAATAAATGATATGCAAGCTTAATATCAGTCTTTTTCTCTGTTTGACAGGATGATAGCCGGAACAGGGCGTGCGAGTTGTTTCCTTCTCTATCCTCCTCGTTAAAGAGGAAGAAGGATCATGGTATGTGTTAGTCACTAATCTCTCTCTATCTCACTAGACAATGATTCCATCTGAGTCTTTAAGCGTCATGGCCATGTGCCAAGGGCTTCCTGCCCACTTTTTATGAATTAATGAAATACAGAACATCTTTGAAATTCATCCTTGTATTTGGACAAAGAAATTAAAAGATTGGGAGCAACAAAATGCTAATTGGTATAAGAAATAACTGATTGTGCAGTGAATTTGACTGTGTTTAATACACAGGGCGAGCGGAGGCTCTCCTTATTGCATCATATGGCAAAGGAATGAAAAGAGAAGGGATCCAGAGCTGCATCAGTGGTTCTTAGCATTCTTCTTCACCTACCTTCATGGTGATGGAAATTTTTCCCTTGGTTGTTGCCCCTTTTTTTTGTGCAACAACCCCAATTGTCATAATTCGCTGTAATTGGTTCCTGTACTTACTCTCTCTCTCTCTCTCTCTCTCTCTCTCTGTGCAGGTTTATGTAACATTATTATGAGAAACAATGTATCTTCTGTGATCCAAGGCCCAAAATCAACTCTCTCAGAGCAATGCTGAGATTTCCATCTTTAAGGGTCATATGAAATGCATATGCATGACCAATGCTGCATGTATCAAACTGATAACAGGGCTTTAACTGAAAACAAAACCCTCATTTGATTACTTTAGGACCGAAACAATTTACCGATAAGGGTAGTTGAGATATTTAATAGGTTTTCACTTCTTCTTTTTTGTTTTTTGTAAATGTGTTCCCATTAGTGAGATGAGATGGATCAATGGAGGAGATTAAGGAAAAGAGAATGTTAGAGAGTCTAATCCAAAACTGTAAGATTGAAAAAATAATAATACTGGAAAATATCATTTAAAATGATCGAACCATCTCGAAAATGACTAAAGATGATCAGCTCAATCAATCTGCCGACAAGGTGGTTACTTTAATAAAATCATTTCACTTAAGTATTTTTGTTAAAAATATACTTAAAAATGCCCCTATTTGGGTTTGAAATCTTGAAAATGCATGGGTGCTTTCGAGTTTTGGCCCATGAAACAATTGCAGCTAAATTACTTAATTAGCTCCTCTAAATCACTACAAAAATCATCTTCATCAAGGTTGAATCACCATGAAATTTCTTTCTCCGGGTTTTGATTTTTGAGTTTTCGTTGAAGGCAAATAAGTTAGTTGTTTAGGGGTGGTAATGGACCTAGACCTCTGGGTATGGGTCCAAAATTGGATCCAATGGGTTGGGCTTGGGTCCCAATCTTGGATCGGAACACTATTCAGGTGGGTCCAATAATATGTTTTTCGGGTCTCAATGTATACAATATATTTAAATATAATTAAAAATCCATAAAGTTTGGGTCGGAACCTGACCGATCCAACCCATTGCCACCCCTATAGTTGTTCATATCTGTGGCCACTTTTTCAGATGTGCAAATCGAAGGCAAGATATATTGTATCACTGGCTAGGATGTATTGGAACATGCTCACCATAACTCAATAGCATATTGAAAAATCAATCCAAGTTCGTTGATTACCTTAAAGACAACAATTGCATGGTCCAAATTGGGCACAACCTTGTTTGTTGTAATTAATTTTTGTAGGTTGTTTGTTTAATATGGAAGCTTTTTCTTAATTGCATTATTATTGGTGCATTGAGTCACCATTATTCATCTATTATTGATTTTCATGCATCTATTTTGCTGTTACAAGAAGAATTCCATATTCTTTGGGCTTTAAGCTCAGTCCTGTTGCTTTAAGCAATTAGCAGCATTACCATTCTTCATTTGCTGTGAAAAGTTATTTCCTAATGACATTATCATCAGTCCCATTGTTAAGAGCCAACAATGCACAAGAGCAAAAGAACAATCAATGCACTTCCCCTTCCCCATTGAACTACCCAAAAATAGGAATGGACGCAAAGCATAGGTGGTCAAGATCGTGGCTGCCACAACATGACAACTTGACCTCCATTACTACCACCGGAAGGGGATCCCGTCCTCACTGATTTACTAGAAATCCAGTCAATTTGGGTTATTCACTTATATCGGCTCTGCTCCCACGATCTCTCTCTCTAGAACATAAATCATTTTTCTTTGTTGGTTACTGGAATTGGGGTTTCTCCTCCTCGCATGAGTGTTGATTTTCTGGAGATATCGATTTCTGAAGTGTTGACTCTCATTAAAAGAAACTAATATTTCCTTTCTTAACTATGAAATGGTTTCCATCTCTTTATAGTGGCTGTTATCTCTCAAGGGTACCATTGAATGAATGAGAAAACTTGTTCATCTCAGATGGGATGCGGAGCTAGTAATTTAAGCTTACCTTGTTTCTTAAGAGTAGTTAAAATCCATTAACTTTTCATTAAGTGTTTATTTACCATGAGTAACCCTCATGGTTCCTATTCATTCTCATTGTGAAATGCTTTTTTACACCACAGGCTGGAGCTTTGGTATGAAAGACACATTGAGTTTCTCAATGCAGGCCTTAAGCAACTTGGACCCGGTTATAGTGTGTTAGATGCCAAGTATCTTTCTCTCTGCCCACTGATTGAATATTCAACTTCCATTATTTGTCAAAGACTATATTAATAGGAATAGTATACAAAGAGATCATTTACTTTTAATACAAGGAGGTCGCTATTAATTTTGTCCGTTAGATCTCAATTGGGTGTGTCAATAACTAGACTCAAAGTTTAAAAGAAAAATTCTCAAACTTTATGGCACACTCGAAGCCATCCAATTTGGCATCTAATGGCTAGTAGCAAATAGCAATTGTAACCTCCTTGTAACAAAGATAAATGGTCTCATAGTATACAATCCCATAGTAATATTAGTTAATAAAAGCTTTTTTTTGTGAGAACAGGAAATTGCATTTTTTGTGAGAATAGTTAACTTGTAGTTTCTTGTGTTTTCTTTTAGTTATTAAAAGTTATCTATATTAATTTTCTTATTCCAACAAGTTAGTTCTCTAAATTCATACACAACATTATTAAAATTCTGTGAATCTTTTCTCTTTTGTGGGTTTTAGTCGCCCTTGGCTTTGCTATTGGATTATTCAGTCGATTGCTTTATTGGGAGATTCTGTTGATGACAAACTGGAGGATCGCGCAATTGACTTTCTTTCCCGTTGTCAGGTTCGTGATATGGTGTAGACTATAATGTGGATCTCTTATGTGAGCTGTTGTCATGCAATGACTTTTTTGGTTTTGAGATTGCTTGCCTTTACCTTTGTTACCCTATTAATGTCATGACCTTTAATTGCTTTTGCATTGAGAAAAGGTTATCTCAATCTTGCATTTTTGTTAGCCTTTATGGCCAGTGGCCATACCTGTTCTGGTTTGTTATTTAGCCATGTAATGTGGTGCTCCCTTGTTTGTCTTTATGGCACAATTTAATTAAATTTTAAGGGGATATGCAAAAAGTATTGTGAATGTAGTTGTAATGTACACTTGGGGGCAAGAGCTGGGCAAAAAGAAGAAAGTTGTATATAATATTAAGTGAAGGTTTTAATTACTAAAGTGGAATTTATGCAAAAGTGAAACACTAAAAGTACTTTCAAAGGGATGATCAGACTGGAGGTTGGTTCTTTTGTTAGATTGCTGATGGAATGTGACCTGATGGTACAAGAGCCATGGGTGAGAAGATTTCCTGCACCCTTTGGTTATAGAGATGATGTTCTAATCAATTAAAAAGCCAAGAAAAGAAGATGAAGTTTTAAGTTCCATTCATTGGATTGTAGAATTTATCATTGTGGTGGCTTTGTGAATGTAGCTTATGTATTCTGCTGCCCCATTGAGTGCTTGTTTCTTGTATCCACAGGAAAACCAATTTAATAACTTTCATAATAGCTGACTTTAAGACACTCGTCAATGGATCCTTTGCTGGGAAGTAAGGTGGAGGTTCCTTTGGAAGGATGTAACTGGCATACAAATGCAAATGATCTATGATTTGGGTGTGCGTTTCTTTTTTTCGATGCTGTTAACTATTGTATTGAAAAAGAAGAAGATTACAAGGGTCCAGAGAGAGCGCTCACATTTCGGGCCTCTCGGCAAAAAATAAGCTAACCTTGGTCAAGTAAGCCTATACAATAAATGAGAGGGGCTTATAACATTGCCTGTTTCAAAGATGTACAAAAAAGGAATAAGAGAAAGGTCTGTCAAGAGTAAAAATCCCGAGGGGCAGGACCACAAAAATCACAAATGTACAAAAAGATAAGGCCATGGTCATGAAAGCGTGCGTCTCGAGTTCTTCTAAGGATCTGCGACCTGTGCGAGAGCTCCATCCTTAGCCATCTGGTCCGCTAGGCCGTTTGATTCCCTCCAAAGATGCGTCCATGGGAAGGCTATATCCTTGCAAAGTTGTGAAATCTCATCGTAAATAGATGCAAGATACCAAGGTCGTGTGGCGTAGCCGGCAGCCCAGGTAATAATATTCCGGGTGTCTCCTTCCACTAAAAGAGGTTGTCCCCACCAGGGGTCTAACATTTTGAGTCCCATGAGAAGAGCCAAAGACTCGGCAAGCTAGGAGTCGGCATGGCCAATGTGCTTGGAAAAAGAGGCCAGGATGTTCCCATCGTAGTCTTTGAAAACCTCGTCGATACCTGCCGGTCCGGGGTTCCCAAGGGAGCACCCATTGAAGTTGAACTTTATCAGACTAGCCGGTGGAGAAGACCAGCAGCTAGCTCGTGCAGCCTGACGACATTGGAAGAGGAGGACTTGGTCCCAACTTAGTTGGAAAGACAAAGTTGAAATACCTTTGAAGGCCTTGTGATTAGAGACCCAAAAGATAACCAAGGTCTTAATCTTGTGAAAAAGGGTTGAGACTTTGCACTTGACTGCTCGAAAGATCCTTGAGTTCCTTTCTGTCCAGATTACCCAAATCGTGGCCTCTATGGAAGCCTTTCATAAGAGCCAGCCCGCCTTGGGCCAGGCCGCCAAGGAGGGTCCCCGCAAGTTTGAAGAGGGCTGGAATGGAGGCTGGCGTAACCCAGGACAATCCGAAAAGTCGTAGGTATCTGCTCCACAAGTTTAGTGCTATATTGCAATGGATAAAGAGATGACGATTGTTCTCTTCTTCGTAGAGGCACATGACATAGCGGTTTGGGATAGGGACTGCGTTGGAGCTGGTCCACGGTGAGAGCTTTTTCAGAACCCACAAGCCAATTGAAAGCTTGAACGTTCTGTGGGGCCATCGAGGACCATTCCTTGAAAACCATAGAATTCGGACAAAGGAACACGAGGAGAGGGAGTCCAAATGAGACTATCTAGCCCAGAGAGGGCAAGGAATGTGGCGTGTAAGAGGGGGATGAGAGTGAGATAAATTTCAGGAATTCAGCTTTCGAGAGAGGGTGTCTAAAGGACAAATTCCAAGCCTTGGAGCTGCCTGCATTCGAGATCTCTTCTACAATCGAGGGGGAGGTATTGGTGGCTAGAGAGAACAGGGAAGGGAACCTTTCCCTGAGAGCGGTGTGGCCCAACCAGAGATCAGATCAGAAGCTGATTCTAAGGCCTTCCCTTGGCTGGAAGCAAATGTTTTGCTTAAAGATAGAGAGGGCAGACAAGAAAGATTTCCAGGCCCCAGAAGTCCTACTCTGTGGACTACCCTCTGGAAACCAGGCATCGAGGGGAATTTTGTATTTGCATCTGACCACTTGAGTCCAGAGCAGGTTATTGTTGTTCGCAAGACACCACCACCATTTTCTTAGCAATGTCATGTTCTATTTTCTGAGAATCTCGATCCCTAGTCCACCCAAGTGCTTTGATTAGCAGACTTTATCCAAGCAATGAAGTGAATTTCTTTTATTAAGAATCTGCTGATCAAAGAAAATTCCTCATAAGCTGTTCTAGGTGATTGGCAACTGTTGCAGGCATTTGGAAGAGTGACATGAGATATACAGGTGTATGGGACAGGGTTGCCTTTATGAGAGTTTTTATTCCTGCAAAAGACAAGAACTTGCCTTTCCAACCTGTGGTCTACTCTGTCTATAATGTGAGACCATTATCTCTTCTTAGATTTTCCAATGCCCAAGGGCATCCCAAGATAGCTAGTAGGAATGTCTTCCACTTTACACTTCCAATCTGGGATGAGAGCTCTAGTCGCCAAAGGTGTGAGACGCACCCCTATCATAGTGGATTTCTTTATATTTACTTTGAAACCAGTGGCGTACTTGAAACATCTGAGGAAGAGGCGTAGGCACTCATATTCCTCTGGGATGGCATCGGTGAACACCAGAGTATCATCGGCGTACTGAAGGTGGGAGACCGTGGGACCTCTGGTACTGCTTTTGAACCCAGAAAGGAGGCCCAGTGGTACATACAAAAAATAGATTGACTGAATACCTCCGCTGCAATAGCGAACAAGAATGGAGGAAGAGGGTCCCCTTGTCGGAGACCCCTAGAAGAGGGAAGGAAACCCTTGGGAGCCTCATTAATTGACATTGAGAAATATGGATGAGAGTAGCAACCCCGCATTTTCTCCATCAATCCCTAAACCCCATTTTGGCCATTGTTTCGTCCAAGATCGGCCAATCAACATAGTCATAGGCTTTTTCCCAATCTATCTTGAAAATGTGGCCCGGACCCTATCCAAAATCTAGAATGTAAATGAGGTATTTCTTTAAAATCAACGTCAATTTTTGCTAAGTGTCTAGAGTGTAAGCACTAGTGTGCCACCAGGATCCCATCCAAAATTTGCATATCTTTGATGAAGGCGCTCTAAGAGAGAGAGAGAGAGAGAGAGAGAGAGAGAGAGAGAGATCACAAAAGGTAGGACCTCTTTCAATCTCGAGGCCAACACGATAGTATCTTATAGGTTGTGTTGACCAAGCTGATAGGCCTAAAATCCTTCAGTTCCTCTGCCCCTTTGACTTTAGGAACTAGGGCGATGAAGGTTGCATTCATCTCTTTGTGCAGGATACCTTGGTGGTAGAATTCCTCAAAGAAACTGAGGAAGTCAGGCGTGAAAGTATCCCAAAACAACTTGAAGGGGGCTACTGGAAAGCCTCCCGGGCCTAGCACTTTGTCTTTACCCAGATCCGCAATGGCCTTTAGAATTCAGCTTCGGAAAACATACGTTCCAACCGCAGAAGCTAAAGCAGAGGCACCATCAAGAATTGTGAGTCCCCCATTCTAGGTATGGAGTCCGACAGAGCAGAGTGGAGGTCTAGGTAGAAAGAAAGGATGGCTTCTTCAATGTCTTGAGATCGATCGAGGATGGAGTTGCCCACCTTGAGAGTGAATATGGTGTCGTCCGGACGTCGGCAATTGGCAATTCGGTGAAAAAGCCGGTGTTGTGGTCTCTGTGGCGGAGCCATTTGACCCTGGATCTCTGGGACCGATAAATCGCTTCTTTCTTGAGAGGGGACCGGGATCCTTCAAGGCTATCTAACTCTCGGATGGTGGCCAAGTGAGAGTTTTTAAGATGAGAGAAATCTCCTGGGATGGTTATGCTCCAGGTTTTGAGGCATTGAATTTTAGTTCGAAGGATATACCTCACCCTACCTGAGACTAAGGATGAAAACGACTCCCACCATTGGGGAATAAAAGATGATACATATGGTTCTTCCAACCAAGAAAGTTCGAACTGGAAGGGTCTGGGGTCTCTCAAAGCGGGTTGGGTGTTTAGAAGGATGGGATAGTGGTCAGAAGTAGATTTAGGAAGAGCCACGACACTAGAGCAGGGGAAGTCTTAGTCCCAAGACAGGGAGAGAAGAAACCTGTCGAGTTTGGACAGAGTGGTTTGAGAGGAGTGGTTTGACTAGGTAAATAGGTTGCCCTGAAGAGGGATGTCCAGGAGTTCATTGCAGGAGATGAAGACGGAAAAGTCCGACATTCCTTGTGAAATATTGGAGTTTGAGTTTCTCTCAAACGATCACCTGGTGATATTGAAGTTCTCCCCTAATCACCAAGAGCGGTGAGGGAGGGAGGCAATGAAATCGAGCTCATCCCAGGTGTTGGTGTGAGTGATGTTGAGTTAGGGTCATAGACAACTGTGAATTTCCAAAGAAGACCATCCGAGGTCCTAGAAAGGATAGCAGTAACAGAGAAGTCCCCTATGTGGGAGGACATTAGGGAATGCTCTGAGGGGTTCCGGATAACCCAATAACCCTTGGAGGCACCTGAGGTAGCCTGCGAAAGCCATTGGCAAGGTCTCCATCCCTAGACCTGGCGAATGAGTTGAAGAGAGGGATCAGGTTGTTTTGTTTATGTTAAGTCTAAGATGGTGGGAGTGGACTGTGCTTGGCGCACATGTCCCACGCTGCATTACGTTTGAGGTCTTGTCCCAAATCCCAAACATTCCATGAGATGATCTTCATAAAGGACAAGGGGGTTGGGGATTGGCGCCAGCCTAGGGGACCACCTAAGGTGGGGGTCGAGGAGGGAGGGCTGATCTACGACCACTGAGAGGGGTTCAATGAGGGCCCCGTTTGTCATAATTAATGCTGGAGTAGAGGTTTAGGATCTCCCTATAACCTTTGATCCTCACCTTGAGTCTGCTCTGAGCGTATGCCTTGAAGAAGTTGGTTTTGATATCTTCTCGGCCCTTGAAACTCTCCACGTGTTGATGAATATAAGCCCAAACTTCTTCAAATCAACGCCCAAGCCAAATCCCAATCGACAACCCAACCAAAATCCAAAGCAATCCGATGATTTCAAACGAAAAAATTTCACCCATTTTTTCAACTATTGTTTATGATAAAACAAGCATCACCATGGCCTTTTTTTGGGTTTGGGCGGTTTTGTACCCCAAAACCCTTCCACTCTCCCCCATTTCGGGGAGGGGAGGATTACCTTACTGTCCATGCTCGTGGGCATTATTTTTGCCCATGAGCCTGGGCGTTGTATACAGGCACTATACGCCGGGAGACACCGCATATGCAGGTTTATCCCTAAAAAGTGCATATGCGGCCTGAGCCAATGCGCCTCAAGCCGCATAGCACATGATGCTTTCGCATAAAGCGCTATGCAGGCGTATTTTAAAACACTGGTTTCATATTTGCTTCACTAATGCTACTTATCTTCTTCATGTCTGTCTTTGTGAGAAGTTTGGAATTTCCAAAAAATAACAGTATTTAGCTGATAACATAAATTGGTATTCTACAATAATGCTCCAAGTATAATGTTCGGGGAATTGTACTTTTAAGCATTCGTATCTGTTAGGTACATTTACTTTCAATGTGTTGATATTTCTTCCATCAGAATGCATGATGCAGGTGAAATGGATGTCCGAGCTTGCTACACTGCAATTTCTGTAAGTACTGACCTTGAAATGCGCAATAAAATTGTTTTTTAATGTTGCAAGTCTTTTGTAGACTGACATTGTCCTAGCATCTGAGAATCCCTTGAGATATTTCCAATAGCTTCATAGGTCATTAGTTAAAAATTGAACTGCTTTAATTCTTTCAATATCAGTTAAAGACAATCCTGAATAAGTTATTCTGGATTAAGTATTGTAACTGAGAATCACCTGAAGGCTATAATTTTTTTCCTCATTCACCGACTTCTACATTTTAGGTAAATTGTGGAATTGGGAGTCCAGTGCTATTAGTATTTTGCCTTCAGCATAGTAGCGCATCACAATTGAGACAAACTTGATAATCTGACCTTGCCTTCCATTGGCATGTGCTAAGGGAGTGATCAGCATTTTTAATCTTAGTATGGTATCACATGGTAGAACCTTTTCCTTTTGTTTAGTAATTTGTGGAATAAGGTGGGGAATTTTATCTTTTATTGGCAGGGAAGGGATTTGTAATTCGGTAATGAAAGCTAGTCGAGGTCTAGTTGGTAATATGACATATCAGGGGAATATAAAGCCAATGGTTTGGGGCTGATAATCAAGGCATATAGAAGATGGTAATGGTGACATATCACCTGGATCGCCTAACCTAGGTGGTGCTTCAGCTCCAAAATCTCTCTACAGTACTCCATGAGATTGATCTTTAAGGGATCTCAATTTTTAAATTTCGAGATCTTGATCCCCGCTATTCGAGTTCAAGATCCCAAAAGGTTGGAAGCAATCCCAACCTGTTAAAGATTACACAGTTAATTTTTACAAAAATTAAACAGTGGGGTCTTAAAATAGTTCTATTTCTCAAGATTACATTGTTTAATTCTAGTTCTCAGTGGGAAATTGTAAAATTACACATTGTACTCTTAATTTCTTGCACGATCCCAAAAGGTTGAGAATAATATCCCCACAAAGTTGGGACCAAGAAACCCATCAAGATCCCCAAAAGATCAAGAGCAAGACCATAGAATATGCATCATATGATATTCCCTACCACAGGGATCTTTCAGCTTTCAATCAAATTATTGCATATTTGAAGTCAATGAAGTGCCGATTCCAGCTTTAAAGACTCAAAAACCTATATTTTTAATATAAGGTCCATAAGTGAAATAATCTGTTCAAAGTAACTATTCTTTTGATAAATTGATTAGTTTGACCACCTCAGTATTTTTTGTAATTGAGGTGATTTGACTGTTCCCAAGGAAAAGTGTTTGGTGAGTCAGCTGACTCACACTATTCTTGTGTGGCCTCCCTACAAAATATATTTCAAGACATATTTTCAATCTAAAATTTTAGAGTATCAATAATCTCAACCATGGCACTAATCTAACTTTTGGAAACTTTTCCTTTTTCAAAAATATAAATATTTTTTTGTAATTCCTTCCTTCACCATCTATTTTAACTTTCAAAATGTAACATTTTTTACTGGGTGTACTTCAAACAATTTTTTAATGGGTGTACTTTAAAAATCCAAATACGGTGCACCTCCAAATTTTATAATAACATGTAATTTTGGTGTAAAAAATTATTAAGATCATCTCAAAGTCTATTTTCATATCTAATTATAAAATTTTAAATTTAAAAAATAGTTAAAATCAAATAGACTTATAAACATATGAAAATCTTGAAAATAGACAGTCTGGATAATGTTTTGCAAGATATAGACGCAAAACCTTTTTTTTTTTCAAATTCATATATCTCGACATCTTCAACATTAAAATAACCTTTTCCAATGGATTTTGGAGGTGCATATGTGATTCTTGCAACCTTATATAAACTTTTCCCTTTTTTAATATCCATCTAAGAGATGGATGTTAGATAGACAAGACCTCACGGTAATATGTCAGTCGGCTGACTCACCAAAACCGAGTCCTTTCCTCAAAAGGGCAAAACAATTGAAACTACCCAAAGCTCTATTGAACTTAGGATTCAGGCTTGGAGAATCCATATTTTAGAATAGTGTGAGAGAGAGAGATTTTTTTAATTATACAAATATAAATTACCACTTAAGGTCATTTGAAAACAAATGCAAAACAAGCTGATGTTTTCTTTGAAACACAAAGCTAACAAGAAGTCACCCTCCACGATCTTAACAACCACCACCTGAGGTTCTTACTTTAGGACTAAAGCACATTTCACCTCTAAGGGAATGCTTATTTTTGAAGATTTCCTCCTAGGCTCTATGTAATCCTGCAACTTTGTTTGAACCCAAAGTAAACTCAACATTGAAACAATTAAAAACCTAAAAAAGGGGAGTGAAAATGACTGAAATCTCTCTCTCATGCCTCTCTCTCTCTCTCCCTCTCTCTCTCTCATGCCTGTACATACTAGTGGAAATTAAATATAACTTCTTAAAGTTCTATGTTGGGTTCTTAACAAAAAGTTCAAATTGGAGAAAACATATCCAACGTTCAATGGATGGACATCTCAAAGATAACACCTTCATGGTTTCCCACTGTGGATCGGGTGCCATCAACTTCCAGAACTTGAAGACCATGTCGAGAAGCTTCGCTGATGATTAATGCATCCATACTGGCCAAGAAAACAAGGAACAGTAAATTCAATATACGAGTGAGAGAGAGGGGGGGAGAGAGAGAGAGCGAGAGCGAGAGAGTTAATTGTATGTCTGTATGGCATTTGTGTGTGTTTGAGAGAGATCAACTCCATTCATATCCTAAAGGTGCTTTGAGTTAAAAGCAGTTCCTAACAAACTAGTAAACAAAAATGAGGTGAAACCGATACAGAGCAAATTATTTCACCTTAAGCACAAATCCTTAGGTGGTCGGCGCCCAGGCACCCAGAACCTTAGGTGCCCTATAGTGTAAATTCTTAAAAAATATACATACATGTATTGTCCAAACACATATATGCTAATTGTTTCAATTTTGTAATTTATTGAATTTAAAAATATTGTAACATACTTTTTTTTGTATACAAATATATTAAATTTAACTTTAGGGGTTGAAAATAACCCCCATAACCTATTTAAACCTTTTTGGGTCAAAATTACACCCTTTGCCATCTTTCAAAATCGAAAAAAAGGCCTATCCTTGGGTGCCAATGTGCGATTAAAGTTGTCTTGAGCGCCTAGGCCCCAGGAGGACCGTTTTTTGAAACCTTGCACAAGAAGTTGGAACATTACAACACAAAACTCTCAATGTGTATACTATTACAGTATGAGCATGTTCATCAACTCTCTCTCTCACAAATTTAACGTATGACTTCATCATCTCTCTCTCTCTATAAGTTGAGTTCTCTCCCTCGCTCACTCTCTCCAGTTCGATGGTCAATCATTTCTAAGAAAAAGGAAGCAATTTATATTGTTTTACATGATAAACACATAATATAACTAACAGAAGTTCAATATATAGACTCGAAGATGTAAACCATGAAACATACGTCTTAGCTCGAGATACGTAAGCCAGTATGAACTTGCAGTGACTGCCACCCTTGAAGCGTAGAAGCCTTTCCACTGTGTCAAAGAGTAGAGGAATGCTAGCCTGCTGAAAACTTGCGAACTATCAAGGACTTACTGCTAACAAATCCCTGGTCAAGAATAAATTAAGCTTGAGAAAGAGAAATGAAACCAGGATATAAATATCAGCTCCAAGGATCAGGTCAAAACCCGCTGGATATCTTTCCAAAATGTGGCTCAGTTGATCTGTGTTGCCCCATTCTAACTTCTCAGCCACCAGATCTGCAAACAACAAATTTCTCACTGATCACCTAACCCATCACTTAGATGCACACTTTAAATTAGTTAATCAAGCAAGCAATTTTGCTCAGCTATTTTAATATCACAATATTGATAGCATATGATGTTGAACTTTTTTCTTTTTTGCTTTTCTTTCCTTCTTAAAAAAATAATATAATTGGTTCTCTTCACAAACATTTCTCTAAGTCGATAAACTTGTCCTTGCTCATGTACTTTCATTTCTTATAAATCCCACCTCTTTCCATCTCAGAGTTGAGATCTTAGACATGCTAATGATTGATGCGAAGTTCATGAAAGCATAATTACTAAAATCATTAAGTTATTATATCATATAAGGCACAAAATTTACCAACTGATAATGGACCTAAAGGAAAAAGAACAAGTTATAAGTAAAAGATATAAAGAAAATACCAAAATTTTCTCACCTGCACAAATAGTAGTCTTTGAAGGAGAATTGAGCTCTATATTCTTCTTCAAGACCTGAAATGAACCAAACTTAATGTTTTACAAGGCAAAAATGGCCAGTTCAAAACAACACAACAGTATGGCCTTATCTTATTCCCTTGTGAATTGACCACAAAAAATTTCAAAGAAACTAATCTGAATGGACGCATACAAGAAAACCGACATAAAAGGATATTATCTTTCTGCTTAGTATTAACCTATTAAGTCTATGTTTATACAAGTTCCTTATCTATCTTCCTTACATAACTAGTTCTTTAAATTCTTATGTATATTTTTATCTTATGGATATGCAGATGCATTCTTAATATAGTATGTAATGTACATTTAGTAATCTGTTTGATTCAGGAGTTATGGCCACTTGACCAAGTCTGATGTTCATACATGAACTATGAAATTATGACCAGTTATATGAAAAGAAATCAAAATTTTCAGGAAGTATGACACTGTCCAATGGCTATGGTAGTCCAAGGCTACAGCAACTGTCTGTCCTGATTGATGGATGGATGGATGGAGATTAACTGGAGAGGGGTGCAGACGAATATTCATATGTTAATCTCCAATCATTGATCCATAGTAGGTTAATGATGAAAGGAGCAAAGAAAAAGTGACTTCTATGATATTAAAGCATTGATGGTCAAAGAGAACTTTTCTGTTTTTCTATTTTTGAAGTGCAGATATGACTTAATAGTTTTAGATTGGGCTAAGAATGTTATGCTAATGATCCAAAATTACAATAAAACCTGGAGATCACATGCAGTATAGACCTTTCCTTCAGTACTTCCTCCTTATGATCGGTTAACAAAATCTCACGACAATGTTTGCCACAAAGCATCCCCGTAACTCCTGAAATCAAATAAGGTCATCATGCATACTCATTTTCAAGCTGTACGGCCTCATTGATTAAGATTATGCTAGAGTGTGTGCATGTGTGAGCACGAGCATGCACATGTATGTGGTTGTGTGAGCCATTCACATAGGCATCTATAATATTCACGATTCTCTGTAATTTTTTTTCTTCACTATCATCTCTCACATGCATGTGACCAATAAAGCACGTGCACACCAAACTGCATAAAAATTACCAACATGATATCATATTAAAGCAATGATAGAACAATCCTTGAAATATAAATTGCAATATCTTAAAGATCTTTTTCTTTTCTAGAATTTACCCAACATGACTCCCACGCTCTTCTAAAAGAACTACAAAATCAAACCAACTTTGACACCTCTATGAGCCAAGCAAGAAAGTGGAAGCAAGTACGGTTATTTATTTACCAACACCAGAGCCTAATTCAATAATAGATTGCCCTTGAAGTGCATGCACATTCACTGAAAGATAATTGTTCATCAAATGAGCGCCTGGCCACACCAATTGCCCCGTAAGATCATAGTCGGCTGAAGCACAAATCGATGTGTAAGTTGACATCCATAAAGCATAGTAAATCTCCCTAAAGATGTGAATAAAAAAACTAAAATCATAAGGCAAAGTACCCCTAATACTAAAACATAAAGGGAGAGTGCACTATATCCCAATGGAATATGGTATACTTATCATCCACGGGGGTCCTCAAGGTCCATTGAAATGATGGTGTTATAGTGGCACCCACCAGAACAGGATATAACTCCAACAGGTTGCCACCAGCTCTCTCCATCACCATCCATCATTTCATTGAAGTGACAACCACAATAAATTATGGTATTCCATGAATGGATTATAGTAGACATTAAAATTATCCTTTTTACTTTATTTTTAAAAAAGAAGAGCAATAATCAATGAGCATAGCTCATATGCATGCTGAAAAATAAAAACAAAATAAACACTTATAGACATGCTAACAAGTGTAGAAATATTCCTAAATATGCTCATATGCTATGTAGAAATGAAAATATGTAAAATTTGTAGACAATCAGAATTTGATCTATTTATACACCAATCTTAAGATTGCATATCATTTTTCATTCAACAAGAAGAAGTTAATTCCAGATCATTTTTATTCAACAACAAGAAGTTAAAACCTATCTTTCATTCGTGCTTCAGGACAATTGGAAGGATCAGTCCATTTCGACCTGCCCAAGCCACTCAATCTTGGCAGCCAATCCCAGAACCATGCAGATGGGAAGCGCCCAATTTATTTTATTTTTGGACTCTACCAAGTCTGTCAGACCGGACTAGGGCTCAGGACCCTAATGTGTCCCTCCCCAGACGGATTACGGGTTACAATGCTCCTCATTAGTTTCTCTGTCATGTTTAAGTTAGGTGCTCCCTTAGAGATAAAAACACTTTCCATGTATTTTAGGAAGCCTATCCATTAATAAAATTATAAGAAAGCCAAGTGATGTTCTCGAGATAAATATAAGGGCCTAGAATTCCACAATGCTTTCTTAATAGAGTAATAAAGTCAAGAAAATAAAACCACGCAACTTGCATAAACAAGTTAAAATGAGTGAAAATCACCAGCATAATTCGATATGTCCTGGGGGAAAAAAAAAAGTCTCAAACTTTTCCCTTTTTCTTTTAATTACTTTGACAGTCTCGATTTTTATTTTTATTTTGTTTTTTTAATGCAAGAAAAGATTCATTCAAGACCCATTTGAACTATTGTACAATTTATCCCCTATTCGACTGTAACCAAATATTTATCTTGCAAGTGATTAACTGGTATATAAGGAAAAAGACCATGGTAAGAAGAGTACAGATTGAGAATAAAAAGAAAGTGAAATCAACCAACACAGTGAATTAACATAACCAGGAACAAGAAACAAACAATTTCTAAAAAAACCCAAATGCAATAATAAGCATTAAATAAAAAATAACCAGGTAAAAAGGATTTTTCAGATCCATACTCGAGGCAGATTGCAGGCAAAACAGCTCAACAATTTCAGACCCAAAAGTGAAAGTGGTAAGCTGGTAGCTGCATACAAATAATAAACATATACATGAAAGAGAAACAGGTAGAAAAGATTGTGAAAGTAAACAGAAATAATAAGAATTCAGTGTTAACGTTTGCAAATGTTACAAATCTAGAGAAGTTCTCTGTGATTTTGAGTGGTGATTAAAAATGATAAACATGAAACATAGAAATGGGAGTGTACTTGTCATTGATGAAGAAAGATTCATCCAAGCAAACCATGTCCTCTTCTTCTGCGCATGCTCTATCACTTCCCTCCATTGCCTCTCCTTAATGGAGGGAGAAAGAATTAGGGATTTAATAATAAGGGCAAGAAATGACTGAAATCCCCAAAGTTCCCACAATTGCCACTTGTGCCCTTTGTGTAATTTGAGCTTGGTAGAAGACCATTTCTAAAAATGGGGACGGGTTGGATGGGCCAAGGGCTGGGGATGGGTCGGGTCAGTCGAACCGGATGGTCCTGACCTGTTGGTTCGAGTCGGGCCCTGTTATAAAAACGAGTAAAAGGAAAATGGTTAGATAAGGCTGCATCCTTAGTTAGGCCTTACCTCAAAGGAAAAAGTTTATATAGAGCCGAGGCTTTGAACAATCAAATTAGAACTCACCTCAAAAAATTCACTAGAAGAGGTTGTCTTGATGCCCAAATATCCTCAAATTGATCATCTCGACATCAAGATACATGGACATGTGAAAAAAAATGGATTTCTAGTTTTAGAAATAGTGCATATTGTAACACATTTTATGACCGTCAATTTTCAAGATTTTTAAGTTTTCATAGACCTACTTGATCTACACTATTTCTAAAGCTCTAAATTTTATAATTAAGATGGAAATATATTTTAAGGTTGTCACAAAGATATCCAACATTGAAACCACATTTCCCGATACTATTTGAAAGTATGCTTTATTTTTGACTGTTTAGAGCCTCGACAAAAAATTTACAATTTTGGCCTTGAAAAATATTCAAATCAATCCTTTCCACCTTTGCCATTATGGTTGTGGACAAATTTAGGATTTAAAGTCCAAAAAATGAGTGATGGAAGTTTCAAATTAATCGTATGTACCATTTGTTGAGCTTCAAAATTCATAATCGATGTTGGAATGTGATTTTAGAGCCATCATGTAGAATTTTTGTGCCCAAAGTACCTTTCGAATACACACTCGAGGTAAGGCGTTACTTTATTTTCATAAAGTCTAGGCCTTATACAAACCACATCTATAAATAAATATGAAAAGAGTTTACATAAGTTGTCAACCTTATACTCTAGAATCAAGGTACACCTCAAAAGTTTATTCATTAAAAAACCCTTGAATTAATCAGTTTGACCTCGTCATATATGTATATGAAAGGAAAAGTGAATTTCAAGCCTAAAAAATAATACATTTTGAAAACCAATATTTATTGTCGATTTCCAAGTGTTCATAGATCTACATCATTTTTTGAGCTTTCAATTTTATTAGAAGGGTGGAAAATAGATTTTTAGGCCATCATAAGGGTTTCAACCAATGTTTAAAAAAACGCCGCCCGGTTCGACTTGGGAATCGGTACTTACCGTACCGGTTCCGGCACAAAATCGAGAACCGCCCGGTTCTAGAGCAGAACCGTCGGTTCCCACCCGGTTCTAGAGCAGAATCGTCGGTTCCCACCCGGTTCTAGCGGTTCCCACCCGGTTCTAGCCTTCACACGTGTGTACGTGTCACACGTGCCATACACACACTCCCACACGTGCACCGGTTCAGGCCTCACATGAGTGACACGTGGCCATCGCACGAGAGTGACACGTGGCAACTCATCTCACGTTTGCCTCCATCACGTTTCTGCACGCGCAATAAGAAATCTAATACACATGGCTTTATAGAGAACCAAACAACACTCGTCCTTCAATGTGGGATAATTCCCACAAAAAGTCATTAAAGCAATATGATAGAATATATATTATTATGGAAGCGAGAAGAATTACATGCGGTGATATGGCTATGTTGGTTGGCAACACCGAATTTTGGGTGTATGTTTTGAGTTTGAACCCCATAGTGAACACCAAAAAATATTTTGAGTTCGAACCCCTTAGCGCACAACAAATTTTTTTTTTTTTTTTAGTTCGAACCCCTTATCGCACAACCAAAAAATACAAAAAAAATTTGGTTGTCAAAAAAATAAAAAAAAGGTAGAAAATACTATTGTAAAAAAATAGAAAAAATATAAAATAAAAGGCTTTTCAAGATAAAGATAAAAAAGATAATACAATATTTTTTTATTTTTCTTTTAAAAAAAATACAATTTGTTGTAAAAAAAATAAACAAAGGCAAAAAATACTGTTGTAAAAAAATATAAAATAAAAGGCTTTTTAAGATGAAGATAAAAAGATAATACAACATTTTTTTATTTTTCTTGTAAAAAAAATACAAGATAATATAACAAGTATTTCTTGCAAATAAAATAAAACAAAAGGCATAAAAAAATAAAATGTACTTTGACAACATCATTTTTTTATTTTTCTTGTAAAAAAAAAAAAAAAAGTAATACAACAAGTAAAAAAAAAATGTAGTACAACATCTTTTTTGTTTGTCAAAAAAAAAAAAACAAAGATAATCAACAAGTATCATGTTTTTCTTGGAAAATAAAATAAAAGATAACACAATAATTATTTCTTGTCAAAAAAATAAAAGGTATTTTCTTCATACAACCTAGGAATAAATGGTCGAATTATATTTTTTATTTTTATAACAAGATGGTCTTTAACATAAATTTAGTAATATTAATTTAAAGATAAGATTCATACAATGAGGCCATTTGAAATCTCTCTCTTTCTACTAACAATCTCTTCCACTAATTTATTCTAGAAACCTAAAAAATTAAAGAAAACTGGTACGCATTCTAATAATTTCTATATTGATAACCAAATATTTTATTTTATTTATTAATTTTTGTATTATAAATCTTGTAGTGTACTATTTTTCTTACAATTGTCAATAATA